ACGGGGGACAGGAGCAGAGGGAAAGGGAGAGAAAGAATCCCAAGCAGACTCTGAGATGTCAACGCGGAGCCTGACACGGAGCTCAATCTCACCAACCATGAGATCGTGACCTGAGCCTCAATCAAGAGTCAGAAGCTTAACCGACTGAGCCACCCAGGCGCTCCCCTTATGACCTCATTTAAACAGGATTACCTTCTATAGGCCCTGTCTCCAAATATAGTCACACTGAGCATTAAGGCTTCAACATGTGAATTTAGGGATGGGGTGGGGTTGGGGCGGAGGAGGGCAAGTTCAGTCCATAGCAGTTATTGATTGTTTTCTTGTGTTCAAATCTCTCATTTCTGAAGGAGAAAATACAAGACTTTGACATTACTTATCATTTACACAGTGTTTTAAATAAGTAAATTAAATTAACTTTCGTAGAATAAATTAACTTCTACTTCTCATTAAATAATTGAAATATTTTATGTGCTGTCCTTCAGTTTAAAAGATACATGATCGGGGCACCTGGGTGGCTCAGTCGGTTGAGCGTCCGACTTCAGCTCAGGTCACGATCTCGCGGTCCGTGAGTTCGAGCCCCGCGTCGGGCTCTGGGCTGATGGCTCGGAGCCTGGAGCCTGCTTCCGATTCTGTGTCTCCCTCTCTCTCTGCCCCTCCCCCATTCATGCTCTGTCTCTCTCTGTCTCAAAAATAAAAATAAACGTAAAAAAAAAAATTAAAAAAAATAAAAGATACATGATCTGTACTTGGTAATATTGCTAACGCTCACCAACAGAGTCTACAATAATACAAAAGTGTTGTTTGCTCTTTCACCATCGTTTGCCCCGTTCTCTTTGTAACTGTTTAAAGACAAGGTAATAGGATCTCCACTTCCTGCTAGAAAATAGAAGTAGAACTCAGTTAGAGCTCAATGGATAAGGAAATATTATTCCTTAAAAAGATTATTTGAGGTAAAATTAATTATTTTTTGTAACCTCTAGCCCTCTAGTGATTTATAGCATAACCTTAAGCACTAGCTTTGATTTTCTGAATTGAAATCATAATGATGATGATGATGATGATGATGACGACGACGACAAATTTGGCAATAATAGCTAATATGGGTTGAATGTTTAATAATAACATACCCTAAAACTATGTTAAATGTAGTTCTTCTTTTACTCCTTACAGGAAACCCATGGGGAAGGTCCTATATTCAGCCACAGTTTACTCTGACAAAAGTGAGGCATTGGGAGATTAAGTAACTTGCCCAAGACCACACAGTTATGGGTGAATGAATCAGGAAGTAGTGCCCAGTGAATCAGGAAGTAATTATTAAGACTTTTAGGTATGTTCAAGTTGTGAAAAGCACTATGGTGAATGAGGGGAAGGGGGGGAAAGCAAAGAAAACCTTTGCTACCGAGAAATCAGAATAGAAGAAATGCCGAAGTTTGTGGTAGATGTCCTAAGAGCAGCATTGACAACCCCCCACCCCCCAGAAGAGCTGAAGCTCCTGCAGAAGACCTTGAGGGCGGTGTTCCTCCAAATGCCATCAGTAGACCACTTGGGACCACCTAGAATCTCTTGGGAGGCAGTTTTCTGGGCCCCATCCTAGAATTAATAAATATGAATATGAGGGTTGGAGCCCAGGAATTTGCATTTTAACTACTATCCCCCCAACACACACATACACACGTACCCCCTTCCAGAGGTGATCCTGAAATACATCGTAAGACCCCTGCCTTAAAGGATGGATCTGTTGGAATTAACAATGATGGCAGCTTTCTCAACAGGGAAAGAGATGGAAGCAAAGAGATGCAAGAAGCATGGGTTATTTGGGAGGTGCAATAAGGAAACAGGACTAATTAGAAGTAAGAGGCTCTTCTGGAAAGCAATGCAGAATAAGGCCACATAAGGATATTAAGGCCAAGGTTAGGTAGGACTTTAGAAATCAGTGGAGTTTCAGTTAAGTGAGAAAATAACCACAAATACTCATGAGCGAGAAAATAGCCTGATGAAAAACATGACCTAAGGAAAATTACCTGTGAATTGATAAATTCTTATTTTACAAATATATCTTACTGGTTTTAAAAAATATTTTCTTAATATTTCATAAGCATTATTTCTTATTTTGTCTTTTGGCTTCTGGGACATCTTATAGGAAAAGACAAGATGACATTCATAAATATCCTCAAAGAATCTGAAGTTTTCCTCAACATGGAGTATAAAAGTCAAAGACTATGTAGTTTGAAAGCCAAGAGTTAAGAAATAGATGGGTCTTACTGCCTGTATCCAGGCTTCAGGGTATAAAGCTATTTCTTTTTTCTGCCTGAGACCCTTACCCATTGCCTGTGGGAGTATAAATTGGTGTGACTTCCACAGAGGACAGTGTGAGAGTATCTATCAAAATTTTAAGTGTAGGGGCACCTGGGTGGCTCAGTCGGTTGAGCATCTAACTTCAGCTCAGGTCATGATCTCACAGCTCGTGAGTTCGAGCCCCGCATTGGACTCTGTGCTGACAGCTCGGAGCCTGGAGCCTGCTTCAGATTCTGTGCCTCCCTCTCTCTCTGCCCCAACCCACTCTCATTCTATCTCTTTCTCTTTCAAAACTAAATAAACATTAAAAAAAAATTTTTTTTTAATTTAAGTGTATATTCCCTTGGATTCAGCAATTCTACTTCTACGTAGATATGCTCACATCTCTACAGAGGTTATGATAACACAACGTCACTCAAGGTCTGAATTGGTAAAATACTGGAAACAACTAAGAAAATCTATCAATAAGTATTTGGTTATATAAAATAAGGTATGTTGGGGCACCTGGGTGGCTCAGCCAGTTAAGCATCCGACTCTTGGCTTTGGCTCAGGTCATGATCTCACAGTTTCATGAGTTTGAGCCCTGGGTCGGTCTCTGTGCTTGCAGCACTGACCCTGCTTGGGATCCTCTCTCCCCCTCTTTCTACCCTTCCCCACTCACATTGTCTCTGTCTCTCTCAAGATAAATACTCCTTAAAAAATATATAAAAAAATAAAATGTGGTATGTAGACAGTGAAATATTATACCGCCATTTAAAAGGTTGTTAGTTTCATGTTTCACGTGTTGGTGTGCAGAGATCTTTAAGATCTATTTTCAGCGAAAAGAGCAAGATGCAGAACAGAAGTGCCATACTACAGTAATACATGGATTTTTACTTTCTTTTACATTTGCAGAAAAGGTAGAAGTGGAACATAAGGGGTTTAAGGTTAGAGGAAGACCTTCATTTTGCCTTTTAATATTTTGAACTGTTTAAGCTTTGACAAAAATCTGTCACTGGAAATCCACCTTTTTAAAATGAACTAAAATGTGTGGTATCATTGAAAGTCGGCTAGTAAGGTATTCAGGAAATCCAAAAGATGTGTGCATGAGGGTATGTGATCACAGTAAATTCACCTTTAAAAAATGTTAGAATTATGTTCCCCATCTGTTACTTTCAATGTGTATTCTCATGGTGTTTATATTTATTCACTCATTTAGCAAATATTTATTGAGCACATACTATGTGCTTTTACTCCAAGTTTCAACATGGGCCTGAGACTTCCTTTAGAACCATCGGCTTTTAAAATTGGAAGGACTCTTGAAGATCAATTTCCGTGTCTTTTAGGCAAGAGAAAACGGAAATTCAAATGAACGTGTCTTGAGATCTCCCCACCCATTAGTGGCAGTGCTGCTGGGAGAACCCAGTTCTCTCTGAGTAATGTCACAGGACAAACTCATCTTGCATCATCCTTGTTCTTTCACACAAGTAAAGTCCATTCAGATTTCCTTCAGTGGATTTGTCTCCTCAAGTGAACAGCTTTAGAAAAGGTATAATGGTAGCAGAAATACAGAATTGTTAACCTTAAATATTTAGAGGAAACTGAAATGTTCTGCATTTTTTTTCTATTAAAAAAATAACATTTTGGGGTGCCTGGGTGGCTCAGTCGGTTAAAGCGTCCGACTTCGGCTCAGGTCATGATCTCACAGTCCGTGGGTTTGAGCCCCGCGTCGGGCTCTGTGCTGACAGCTCAGAGCCTGGAGCCTGTTTCAGATTCTGTGTCTCCCTCTTTCTCTGACCCTCCCCTGTTCATGCTCTCTCTCTGTCTCAAAAATAAATAAACGTTAAAAAAAATTTTTTTAAATAACATTTTAACTTATATGCCATTCAGTATCCTCAGGGTTTATGCTCTAAATTTTGTTTGGACTCTTTTACCTACTATGTTAATAGATCATATTAAAGATAGGTTTATCACAGCTCAAGGAAGCATCATACTAAAAAATAAAAAAAAATAAAAAAGTTTTGTTGGCTATGTGTTCCCCTAAAATGAGGAAGGAAGGAACATGGATATGTAAAGGAGAAAAGAAGCATTCCATCACTGAACAATATTTTTTGAATTGTTTATTTTCATTCAGGCTGTGATAGTAAGTCTTATCTACCCAGAGCGTGAGCATCTCAGACACCAGATCTGCTTACTTAGACCCTCACGTCACTTAGGTGACTCAGTGTGATAAATCCATGAGGCATTTAATGTATCTTTTATCAACCATCAATTCTGGGGATTTTGTCCCAAATTCTTTTAATGTTTTCAGAGAACCAGTGCTTTGTTGAAACAAATGTAGTCACAGGCTTTTGATCTGGAGGATGATCCCATTTTTTTAGAGAGAGAGAGAGATGGATGGTGCCATTGGTTTTGTCAATAGTCAGAATTGAGACCAGAGCATGTGATGTATGCATTACTCTGTTGTAATAATACACCAAACTACAGGACTGTAGGGGATTCCCAAAAAGTAGAATTCAGTGCATCTTCTTGGACCTCATTGTCAGCATACTAAATTATGCTATGAATTAACAGTGGTACTTTTTCCTGAAAATGTGAGGAAAGCAAAGGCCAGGCTTGGTAGAGACAAAACCAAAGAACTCTTACCTGTTCCTGTGGGCTGTTTATACAGTCCTGCCTGTTTAAGTTTTAAACCAGCCTATATTTCCCTTGTTTTTCTTCTAAAGCCGCGAGAGAAATCATCTGGTTAGAAAGGGAAGAGCGAGCCCGGCAGCACTATGAAAAGCACCTGGAAGAGCGGAAGAAGAAGCTGGAAGAGCAGAGGCTGAAGGAGGAGCGGAGGAGGGCTGCTGTGGAGGAAAAGCGGAGGCAGAGACTGGAGGAAGACAAAGTAAGACGCCGCCCCGGGAAGTACACAGGAGATTTGTCTGTTTCAGAAATGCAACACATTTACTATGAAACCTTCCATTAAGGTGCTGGGGTGCATAGCAGAATTAAGGAATCAGTTTTATAGATAGTCACAGCTTCTAGGGAGGTTGGGGTATGGAAGGCAGGTCCCAAATGGCGTGATTGTTGCAGTTACTAACCTAGAAACTTTAAAAGCCCAGGTGTCTGGCCTTCGAGCTGTAACTTATTTATGTTCAGTTCGCCCATATGAAAGTATTGAGACGCTTTATCACCTGGGACCTGATGATTTCAGTAACCATCCCAAGTTGATACTCCTCCCACCCTAAGGAAGTAGGAGTACTAAGGTAAAGATTTCAGCGGTGCCTTCCTCCATTCTGCCTTAAGTTGAAGAAGCCTCAAGCAACCAGGTTGAATCTAATCTTCCACTCCCCTGCTTCATTTGAGGAACGCCATGAAGCTGTTGTACGGCGTACAATGGAAAGGAGCCAGAAGCCAAGACAGAAGCATAACCGCTGGTCATGGGGAGGCTCTCTCCATGGGAGCCCCAGCATCCACAGTGCAGGTAAACAGTGATCGCCTTCAAAATCACTCCTTTCTTCCTGGACTGTAAAAGGACAGTTGCTTCTTTTTCTCTAAGTCTGTGTTTCCAAAACAAAAATCCCTGCTGAAATAATTCAACTGTAATGAAATGATGATCCTAGCTGTTTGAGGATAAGAGGGTGATGGAGGTAAGATAAGATTCTCTCTCTCCCGTAACACAGGCTGCTTTTCTCTTTGGTTACATAGTTCCTTGAAGAGATAGAAATCTATGCAATGTTTCTAAGTAAACGTGCAGTTTCCACTCTGCATTATTTTAAGTAATCCTTTACATTAAGTTGTCAGGTTTATGGAATAAATTCGCCAGTTTTGTCTTCCTCTCTGGAAGAATCCTAGCAGTATTGACTGATCAAAATCGATACTATGAACTTGTGTATTCAGACCTTAGAGTGTGTGCAGTTTTAATGCTCCGCGGGAGAAAATGCAGGTTCTGAAACCAGAACCAGTGAATGCCTCAGCTGTTATTCCCTTGTTCTCGAATAGACATAAAATCATACTGAAATTTGGAAGTAGTGAAAGGCTTTATTTTTGTACTGTAAATTCAATGAACTTTGAATTTTATATAGTGCGTCAGTTTTTTTCCATCTGTGTGAGTCTAATAACTTTTTTTTTTTTTTTTTTTTTTTTTTTTTTTTTTTTTTTTACTTTGAAAAATCATTGTCTTACATTCTGTCCCCAGGTGGTTTTGTTGCATCATCATTCACCTTTCTCGATTTAGCAGGCCTGGACCACCACTTCACAACTCTTGGTGGTACTAGAAAATCTGGTACAGACATCCCCGTGGTTGCCGGTTGCCTGACCTGTAGCTAGCACCTCTGACCCAGGGCCAGTTCATCGCTAGCTGAGCCGTCACCACCTTAGTCATAATGCATGCCTAATACCCCATTGCATAGACCTAGATCTGGGCATGGCACAGTGTTTCTTAAGTGTGATGATGGTAGAACTCAGGTGACTTGAAGGTGTTGAAATAATGTCATTACATGTGATGTGTTTACTTTCTCTTTAAGTGACCGTTTTGGATAAAATCTTTAAAAAGTGTTTTTTAGTTAATGGATTACCTGGAATCGAAGTACATCCAGTTGGTGTGCCCCCCACCCCACACCCCTGTCAGTACTGCTGTTTCCACTATTAGCTTTAACCTAAATAACAATGGATTTTTGCTTACTCTCTTCTTTTATTGCTAACATTCAGTGTATCTTCTAGAACCTCTTTGTTTTAAAAATTCTGAAAGCAAATTATCACGGCTTTCCTGTGGCGTTAAACCATACTTAAAAGCACTTTTTTTTCCTTGGCTGTTAATGACCCAGTGGTACAGGGTGGGCATGTGTCAAATCTGTAATCATAAGGGTCATTCATGTGTGATATTTTATCCTAAGGGCAGTTTTACGTAAACGTTCCATACAGAAAAGCTGTCATAGTATATATTTTTATGACCTTACTTTTCCTTTACTTGGCTTCATGTTTTACTTGTGTCCAGCAGAAGTACACTCTGTTACAGATTTTCAAATATTTTTAAGGGGAAATCCAGTCACTTGCCTTTAATTCTTGCTTCCACACTCAGAGTTTAATATATGACCTTCATTTCTGCCACCCAGAGCAAGAGAAACTAATGTTGTATTTGTTAGCTCTTGCATAAAATCCATTTTTATAAGGGCTGTGAATCAGAGAAAATTGCTGCTCTGCTAAACAGAGAAGTTTGAAAATAACTGGAATTTGCCAAAACTCTCAAAGGTCAGAATGATCTGCTGTGATGTTAAGAGCAGTGACCTGCTCTTACTCATATACAACAATGCCTCACTCAGGATGGGCACTCAGTCAGTGTTTGCTGATCAAAAACCAGATCCTAGAAATTAATTTTAATCCATATTAAATCAGTGTGTTGGCTTACTGCTCACACATCGACTAGCGCTGGTTTGTAAATTTTTTTTAACTGATTCTTTTTTTTGTTAAGTATTTATTTATTTATTTATTTATTTATTTATTTATTTATTTATTTATTTATTTTAAGAGAGACAGAGACAGCACAAGTGGAGAGGGGCAGAGAGAGAAAGAAGAGAGGGCATCCCAAGCAGGCTCCATGCCATCAGCACAGAGCCCAGCGTGGGGCTCAAACTCACAAACCATGAGATCCTGACCTGAGCCGAAATCGAGTCAGATGATTAACCGACTAAGCCACCCAGGCACCCCAAAACTGACTCTTAATAAATCCTTTCGTGAATTTGTATTTTGTTCAGGGAGAAAAAGAAACGATTAGAAATTTTTATTGTATTAAGTAATATAATTCTCATTAGATTAAGTAATACAATCAATACATGTGACACCTCCATAATTTTAATACAAATTATTAAATTTTATAATTTAATAATAATATGGACACCTCCATATTATTGCATTACAATCAATACATGTGACACCTCCATAATTTTAACCATGCAGGCCTCCAGTTAGGCACACTGTCCCTCAACTAAAGCTTAACACATAAAACAATATCAGAAAATGAATTGCTTGATCCACCTAGAAATGACTTTGATCGTTCCTTATACCCCTGGATCTTACATTTTATCATTTAGATGTTCCTTTTGATATTTTATCCTAAATCTTCAGGACTGCCCTAAGAGCCTATCAGTTAAGTGTAAATTTACGTCACAGAAACAATGTTTGGGTTTGTTTGTTTTATAATGAAGTTGCTTCAACCATACCAATGTGTCCCGGTAGAGATAGGAATGTCTGATGTTGGGGGAAGCCTTGTTTATCCGTACATTATAAACAATGGCCAAAATGATTATTCTGTGGAGAGAAGTTTACTGTAAAGTTCTGACTACCAGTGTTAGACCCGTGAGAACTGGGTGTTAAAGGCATCTACCTAAAGAATATTTTTGTTTGTTTTTAGTTTTAGAAGAAGCTAACATTAGAAAAATAAAACAAAATATGGTAACACCTTTTTTACCTTTGGCTATCACAGGTCAGAACACCTACTTGCCCTCCTAAATAAATACAATGACATTTTAGACTTTTGTTCTGTGCACTTTTATTCAGGGAATGTGATTTATTCTAATGAGCATGGTTATAATTTGGTTCCGCAGACAACAAACAACAGACAACAAACTGTTGTCCAACAGACAACAAACTAACAGCCTATTTTATATGGCTATTATTCTCTTCTGACTTGACCTTTAAGAATTACTCTAAAATTACTGACCTGAAGGATGAACAGTATCACTAATAAAGTTAAAGAGAAAGAATGCTAATTTTCTTTATATATTGCTGTCAGTTTTTTTGGGCAAGTTTGTGGACTGATTCTACATTTGTAAACTGCACTAGACTCTGTGTAACAGGCATAGAGGTGTGGTTATTCATAGACTTTTTAAAAAGAAATGCTATAGCAGCCATCCTTTCCATACCCAGAGTATTTCTTTTTCTTTTTAAAGTTTATTTATTTTGTCAGAGAGAGAGAGAGTGGGGGAAGGGCAGAGAGAGAGGGAGAGAGAGAATCCCAAGCAGGCTCCACAGTGTCAGCACAGAGCCCGATGTGGGGCTCGATCACATGAACCATGAGATCATGACCTGAGCCGCAATCAAGAGTCAGGTGCTTAACTGACTGACTTTCTTTTTAATCTGTTTTTCTGTAATGAACATTAACACCCTAGGTAAAGTAACTCTACAAGCAGAGGTATCAGCAAATGCATAGAACCTGGTATTCCTCTTTTTTTCCTAGTATTTACATTCTGTTTTACCAGCCCTCTTACTACCCCCTTGTTCCTACTTCGGAAAATTATGAGGGCATCCACTTTTACAATCCTCTCTTTGTTTTCCAGTCTGCCTCCATTAGTTTAGTTCCCCTCCACTGGCCTGCCTTTGATCCTCATCTGTCTGTTGTACTATAGCAATATGCCTGAATTTTCCTGGCTGACAAACTGGTGTGCTAAATGTTTATTTTATCCTATGAGAAAAATAATTTTATTTCTGGCCTTTAAGTTACCTTTAAGACATCCACTTAGAAAACTGTGCTGTTATGTAAGATCTAGTGATAGAGCTGAAAGCATCCAATCCTAGTTTTTCCTTCCATCAGTGAACTAGGAAATTGCAATCCTGCATGCTGGCTGTCAATTAGCATTATCTCCATTTGTTTTAGATCCAGACAGGCGGTCAGTTTCCACCATGAATCTTTCGAAACATGTCGATCCCGTCATTAGCAAGCGGCTCTCCTCTTCATCTGCAACTTTACTAAATTCTCCAGATAGAGGTACAGTCAAAAGGAAAACAAAACAAAAAAAAAAGTGTTCTGTTATTTACTTAATGCTTCTTTTTTTTTCTGGATGTTTACAGCTAAAAATCAGCATCTGAAGTTGCTTTCCCTACGTTTCTTAAATAGGAAGAACAAAACTTCAGAATAAAAAAGCAGTAAGCGGCTGAGCAGCATTTCCCTTGCGACAAGAACCTTGCTCATGTTAGAACTTGGCTGAATGGTTGCATTTAGCAGTGATGAAAGCGGTGCTTCTCAACTTTTTAGTAAATGAGTTTACAGCTCCAGAAATCACCCACTTATCCACCAACATGCAAATAATCTTTGTTACGAACACTTACTTTACTTCAATCATATTGTCTTTGACTTTTCATCTGTACTTTGGGAATTCCAAGCTTTGACTTTCTAAAAAATCTTCTTAAATGATTCATGTTGGTAGATTTCATTTTACTGTTTGAGTTCTCATTTAACAAAACCTTACTGCATTTCTTGTGTGTGTGTGATTGGTTTTTGGTGTCCATTCATTTTGCTCTTAAGGGATTTGGCCTGACTTCAAGAATATATCCTCATTGAAGTTTCCTAAAACTTTTAATAATCGTATCCCTCCAATTAATGTTTTATTTGAATTTTGAGTTTTATTCATCCCATGGATTTACAGTACATGAATTTTGAGTTATTTATGAAATTAAAGTTTTATTTTGCGTATTTATATGTCATAGAAGGAAAAAATCAAGTTTTTAAGATAAGCTTCGGTTTTACAGAACTAAGATTTTAAATTAGAAAACCAAAGAATTGTTGTGCAATATGAAAACATATACTCTTTAAAAGTAACAAAATCGTGGTTATTTTTGAATGTTTTATTAAGAAACTGGGAAACGTTCAGTCTTTAAAAAGAATGCAATGTGTGCATGTTCTGTGTGTATGAGTATTCATATATTTTGTATTGTATAAAAGTTGTGTCATTGTAATGTACAATATTATACCTGTTGTTATTTTATAACTAATAACTACTCTCTTAAAGCAGTAAATGTTTGAATAACTTCCTATTCTTGCCTTTTAACCTGCACCATTCCTTTTTTTTTTTAACTAATTTGCTCAACTATTAACTAAATGATAACTAGTAAATGATGATTAACTAAATCATTGATATTAGACATGTAGTCAAATTTGGGGCCTTTTAGATGTTAGAGAAAAGTATTATGAACTAAAACTCCTTTCATAAATAGGCCTTATTTTCAAACCCATCCCCTTAGTATAAAATATAGCATGTGAATGCTATTCTTACAATTGTCTACTCATCTTTTCTTTGGATTTGGTCACTTACTCAGCACTTTAATGTGTCAACCCATGTCTAAGACAAACTGCAATTGGGATTTTACAGTGCTTTGATGTCAAACCTTGCTTACTGCCTCCTACAGTTTCACAGCTGAAATTGGGGTAGATGTGCGATAAACCAAACAGTACATCCTACTACACTTCTGTGGGATGACAATGATCTTTCAACTAGCAAGATGTTTTATAGATTCTGTGTGATAGTATCTAATTGGATATGGTTTTTAAAATTTTTTTTTAATATTTGTTTATTTTTGAGAGAGAGAGAGAGCAAGCACACATGCGGGGGAGGGGCAGAGAGAAAGGGGAACAGAGGATCCGAAGCAAGCTCTATGCTGACAGCAGAGAGCCTGATGGCAGGGCTTGAGCTCACAACCTGTGAGATCATGACCTGAGCCAAAGTCGGACGCTTAACCAACTGAGCCACCCAGGTGCCCCTGATTGGATATTCTTTTTTTTTTTTAATGTTTACTAATTTTATTTATTTTTGGGGAGCGGAGTGCGTGGGGGATGGGTAGAGAGATGGGGAGACACAGAACCCAAAGCAGGCTCCAGGCTCTGAGCCATCAGCACAGAGCCCCACGCGGGGCTTGAACTCACAAACCGCGAGATCATGACCTGAGCCAAAGTCGGACCCTTAACCAACTGAGCCACCCAGGCTCCCCTGCATCCTCTGTTCTTACCCCCATGGGTGGTGCCCTTCCTTAGATCGACTCTGACTGTATGTGTGCTTTTTTAGGTGAGGTTAAGGATCAGGGAAAGTTCAATAGCCAGTTCATAGCGAGGGCCAAGAAACTGCCCCTTGAATCATTCACGGGGCCCATCAAATTGAATCCTAAGCTGAACTTAACAGAATCAGAGGGAAAGCACTAAATTTGGGGATTCTGCTTCTCTGGCCCCTTGTCAGAAGAATTGTGAAACAGTTCCTGGGTCTAATAGGCAAGGTCAAGGTTGGCCAGGAAGGAGGATTCAGTTCATCCAGGAACTTCCATATGGTCCACGAAACAATTTTTTTTCCTTTTTTTTAAGTTAGACAAATCCTCAGGGCAGTGAGGAGCCTAGGCCTTTTAATGAGAATAGAAATTCTTCTGAATTTGAACTTCTCTAATTTAAAATTTAAGTAATTTCGTTAATTTGCTTTTCTGCTATTTTTAAAAGTTGGTGTTATGCTTTATTATCAAGTTAGGAAGCATTCTTATCAAATTATTAAATTAGAAGCTTTTACAGACAAATCCAGTAAAGGGAATATACCATTACTAGATTGTCTGAGCTTTCTCAACCCTATAGCACAGGGCTTAAGGCTGATATTAAATTGAGGTTCTGGTGCTATCAGGGTTCAGCTGGAATGCTCCACTGGTTATTAAAAATACTGAAATATTTCCATACCATTTGGTGTAAATATCCACTTCCTCAAGCGGTGCTTCCCCAGGTCCTCCAGAGCTAATGCATGGCATCCATTAGCTCTGTGCCTGTGCCTTACCTGTTTTTAAATATTTTTATTATCACACTTGAATATAGTGTCATATAGACTGATAAAATGACCTGAGTTAAAGGAAACCTCTAATTACCAAAGATCTTTTTTAATTGCTGCAATAGAGGGATTTTTGCCACTGGAGATTTTTGCATTAAAAATGTGTTTCTTCATATTCTTAAGCTACCTACTTACCCAGTTTTTTTTTCCCCCTCAAGAAAGAATAGGGAGTTTCAAAAAAGCAGGAAATGAAGTTGCCTACTGTTTGATTAGAATTAGACCATACATTTTTCCTTAGAATCTAGATCACAGGGCATGGTGGTAGACCTGACGCTGAATTCTGCCCACAGGCATCTTCTGTTTGACTGGAGTAGGGTGTTTTGTTCTTTAAGTTGAATCCATTGCCATCATCCTAAAAATGGAATATATCAAGTAACATTTAGGTTTCCTACTTCTAATGAAATATCAGGATGTGGCGACACTTGCCTGATTTTTGCATGACGCTCGTCTGAAACTGAACAATGATTTCCTGCTTATGGAAGAAGGTGGCAGTGCAAATACCTCTAATGTTCATGTGCCTCCCCTGGTCCACGTGGTCTATTATAGGAATTGTCAATATCTCCTTTTTAAGTGCTTAAGTAGGATCAATACTATAGAGTTGTTTCACAAGAATTAATATCTCTTCCTTCATCTTAAAATCAGGCCCTGCTAGGTGAAAAAAAAAGAAAAAACCATAAACAATAAACTAACTCCTGTCCTAACCTTTATTAAAAAGTCGTCTTATGGAAGACATCTATCTCTATCTTGTTCAGGGCATAGTAATGAATGCAGAGGAAGGGGAAACATGTTTCTTCTGGCAAAAGCTTTCTTTCACGGTGTCAGAGCTATAAAACAAATTTCTTCAGATTTGCTTTAAACACAAGTCAGAGAAGGTTTTTAATCTTCCTTTGAGGCAAATTCTTTGGTTGATGCTTTAAAGTCTCACAGAAATAAAGTTAATGAACTTCTTAATCCAGGGGGAAAGAAAAGAGCTTGTCTTTTCAATGATAAACCATCTCTGCAATTCTAAGCCAGCCCTCCTACAGAGTTTATCAGGGAAAGGAAGTATTCCTCTCTTTCCTTTCTCATCTACTTGAAAATATAGTTCTTTTGAAGATTTTCATGTATCCTCATCACCTTTCCCAGTGGTTTTATTCTGTGAATGTATTCCACTTTTAGTTTGCTTTAAATTCTGTGACTGATGCCCACATGCACACTGCCGTGGTATAGTATGTAACAGCACTTATTCCCTTATGTGTTCTACTTTGTAGCTATTTCTATATTATATGTGCAATTGTACGTATACAACATATAGCATCTATATTATTCTTTTATTTGTGTTTATCAGATAAGATTCAATTTAACTATGAAGACTCTCCTAATAACAAAATCTAATAAACAATTCACTAATTCTTAAATTCACCATAGCCTTGATCAAAATAGCTTCTTTTTAAAAATAAAGTCAGGAACTTAAGATGCTTTTTGGAGGTTGGTAATTCCTTTCAAGTAGGAGGAGATATTTTTTATAACAACATTTAACATCAGGTAACTTCTGTTTAACTAAAACTAATTTTCTAGAATTTAGATGCCATTTCTTGAAAATTCAACATATAAAAGGTTATTAAAAAAAAAAAAAGTCACTCCAGAGACAACAGGATGTACACCTGCTGTTTATGGTACCAAACAGAAGTGGCCTTGTCAGGTTTAGACAGTTTTAAAGATTTTTGTAAGTGACTTGGAGTGTATTCTAAAATAGAGACAGATGATCACTTTAGTGATATTTGCAGGATTTTGCCAGCTTCTTTCCTGATATTTTTGGAAAGTAGCTTCTATATTTTCATGGGCCACCACTCAAAGCTAACAATATAAGCAAAATAGTTAATTTATGATTAGCACGTATATCCTGACAATGGTCTTGCCAACCAAGCCCCAGTACAATTTGAGACTATATTTCATTGCGTTCTTCTAAATTTATTTTCTGGAGCCTTCCCACACCCACTGGTAATTTCCACCATTGAGTTTATATTGGCTTTTGGCTTTTCTGTTTAATTTTATCTTGCTTCAGGTTTACCCTCATTCTCTGCCAAAATGTTTATGTTGTTGCCAAACAGGGACCTGAAAGAACCTGGCTTGCTGAATGGAAAAGTCAAAAGGAAATCCCACACAGAACTTTGCCTGGGTCCTCTTTCATTTTATTATCTCTCACTTCCCCCAAGTGCCGAAGCCGCAGTTCATGACATCTGGCAGAATGCCATGGAGACCCTTTCTGTCTTTACTGATACAGAAATGCAGTCTTTCATTAGCTGCCAAAGCCTCTGTTGGAGTTGATCGTTCAGGGTACTTAGGAAGCCCTTGGGTTGACGTGTGTGCCTTCAGCCCACTGCCCATCCTGATGAGGGCCGATAGGTACGACTACATCCCAAACCTGTGGTCGACACGCTATTTCTGTTTTGTTACTTGTTCGTTCCTAAAGGAGGGTGGTTAGCAAACTCTGCATCCATAACACTAACATCTTGAAGAAAGGCAGCATTATGGAATAGCTCCTCCTTTAGGCAGAGTTCCTGTCTCCCGGTCTCTCTGCCGACTATCCTCCCTGGAGAGCCTCGTCTCTCCAAGGCCTGGCACGTGGAAGCCATAAGTATGATGTTCTTGTGCACTCTCCTGCCCCTGGAAAGAATTCCTCTAACATCTTGCTTATGTGGTGACGTTTAGCTCGCCGCCTGCAGCTCAGCCCATGGGAGAGCAGCGTTGTTAACAGACTGCTGACGCCCACACATGCGTTCCTGGCCAGAAGCAAAAGCGCGGCTGCCTTGTCTGGAGACCCAGGTAAAACTGTTCGAGGTGCAACTTTCTTGGTGAGGTCAAGTCCTCTTTCGGAAGCACATCTGAGCCTCCAGCATTCATCATAATCACGTCTCCGTCTTTCCCAGTGTGTTTGCTTCTCTCTCCTTGGGTGCAGTGGCTTTGAAAATGTCTGCCGGTGTTGGTTTCGCGGCCCTGGTATTGTTCCCTCCTTAGCATCCACCTAAGCATCTTACCTGGACCCCAGATGCCAGGCAAACCAAGGGTGTCCCTCCTTGTGATGAGATGGCTTCAGATGCTTCCGTGTGTTTGTGACATCACCAGAAAGACCTATCCCTTTCCCACCGTTCTTTCTGCCCCTGCATCTGAGCACATGATCAGAAGTAGACATAATTTAATACTAATATATTGACTGAGGAATAAAATCAGAGCCCAAGTCAATTTAAGCGAGAGTTTCATGATGTGGCTGTGGGCGAGCTACTTCCCCTCCCTGTGCCAGTCTTTCTATGTAATCTAGGAATTAGTACCCTCTCAAATGTCTAAGAGTTGTGGGGAAGGCTAATTATAGTGTTCTCATTTGTTGCATACTTTGAAAATATGGAGAATGTGCCAAACACTGGTTATTGTAATTAGTTATAACTCCTCTACGTTTTTGAAATGCAAAGCATGCCCGAATAAGCCAATTAGTTTAATGAGAAGTTAGTAGAGAGCCGATATCTCGTTGCAAAGAAAGATACGTATTTGGCTTTTGGCAACATCTCCTTCATAGTGAGCCGGTTTGGTTTTTCCCAAATATCTGTGGGCACAGTTGGTAGATCTCCATAACCCGTCTACCAGCCCTTGTCTTTGGCACTTAGGAAATTACACAGCCTCTTCATAAAGTTCCCTTTAAAAATATTTTGCCTCCGCAAGTCTCTTCGTGATCATTAACCCTCTTTACAAATAATTCTTGGTGGTTTTATGATTTTTTTTTTCCATCCATGGCGCCCCAGTGAGCTGATAACAACCCTAATTCTCACAGTATCCGCCAGGAGGCGGTCAAAAATCAAGTAGACATTCCTACCACCTGCGTGTGGAAACCAAGTGCACAGATTATAAGTGACTTCTGCTAGAGCCACTTAGAATTCTAATTGGTGATTGGGTCTCAAACATGCTTATCCAACCTCCGTCCTCGGCGCCCTGGAGTAATGCTCTGTGTGCAGTGTGTGTTCAATTAGCTGGACCACAGTGTTCTGTGTTTTCTGCGAAAGAACTCTCCTGTCAGCTGTCACATCACATCCGAGATTTTTTTCTGGAGCAAAATGTACAGCTTATTTCAAGATCGTTTATTTTCTGCCTATGAGTGTCATGCTTCTACGCAAGTCATGAAAGTTTTTCCGTATGTCCAGCTAATTGGGGAACCTTTAAAATTGCTTCCATTCCTGTTTCATAGGATCTAAATAGTTTAGGGCTCTCATGCTTTGGAATCTCCACGCTGTATGTAGCTTCATGCTAACTGCCTGCCTCACAGCTGAAAAAGTGTCTGTCTTTGCAGTTTCTGTCACCACTAACTTGTGTCAATTCTCTCGCTCCCCCTCCAGTGTTGTCCAATGCCATTTCCTCATTTTCC